CTCCGATAAGTATAAGAGTATAAACTGCTTCTTACCACTCCAAAGAGTACAAGAGTATAAACTGTTTCTTAAACTCCAAAGAGTACAAGAGTATAAACTGTTTCTTAGACTCCGACAGAGTATATGAGTATAAACTGCTTCTCAAGACTCCGATAAGTATAAGAGTATAAACTGCTTCTTAATCCTCCGACCGGTATAAGAGGTTAAACTGCTCCCTGATACTCCAACAGGTATATGAGTCTAAACTATTTCCTACCATTGACGGGAAGTTCCTGGAGGATATTACGCTAATATTCTTAAGGATAACCCGGTCGGACAACCAAGTCAAACCCAGTTCCAATAGAGAAACTGGGGGTGGATAATCCAATGCATCGGGAAGTTCCCGAAAGAATACCACACGGGTATTCTTAGGGATAACTCAATCATTGTGGAATTGGTGAATAAGAAATTCACGTTCGAACTCTGAAGGTCAGAATGTCTCCTCTTATTCTCTAACTCTTATGAGTTATTTTTTTTGTGAGAGGAGATCCAATCTTCTGGCAGGTTAATCTTTTCTCACCAAACCACCCGCTGATCAAATTAAACGACAGTGGATCCACCAGTGGACCCACCAACATTTCCATCTGCCAGTCATTGGCATTTCTCAGATTTAACATGCTAGGTCCTAAACGCCTAGCGTTAAAGTCTCCCTTTGAGTGATGATACGAGTTGGCACTTTCTTTGCTACCCGTATTCCACTCTCTTCGCTTTCTGGTCAAACCTATAAAAGTTAGGGCCAAAGCCAAAATCCCCTCTCGATTCCTCCAATGAACGAGAGGTCCACCTTCAAATCGAGCGATCAAACTTTCCGACAGTTAGGTCGTCTCAAACTCCTGCTTGGTCAAACATTCATACAGTTAGGGCCACAGCCAAAATCTCCTCTCGATTCCCCCAATGAACGAGAGGTCCACTTCCAAATCGGGTAATCAAACCTTCCGACAGTTAGGGTTATCCGAATTGTTACGATTCTCGGAGTGGAGATCCCACTCTTAGTTTCATCCTTCCGGATTCTGGGGGTGGAGATCCCACCTCGAGTTTCCTTTCCAGCTGTAGATAGAATATAAAATTCTTCCTCTTCAGCACCGGGAGATAGAATATAAAATTCTTCCTCTCCTCGGACCTTTCCGATGCTCGGAGTGGAGAACCCACTCCCAGTTCATCATTCCGGATTCTGGGGGTGGGGGATCCCACCTCAAGTTCCCTTTCCGGCCGAAGATAGAATATAAAATTCTTCCTCTTCAGCACCGGGAGATAGAATATAAAATTCTTCCTCTCCCGTTTCTCAATCTGTCTTTGCTTTTAGAAAAGACACGATTGTCAAATCCGGGCACTCGATGCACGGGGAATTTTATCCCGAAGCCTGAGTAGGGATAAGTCAACGCCTAACACGCGTTGCCGGGTAGTCTATTCCCGTGAGAAAGACGAAGTCTATGTATTCAAAATCATAGCATTAAGTCTAAGAGAAGCAATTCTCTTAGCACAACGTTACATGTGAAACGGGTTTTAATAATTCACATGCTAGCCCGATTCAAACGGTAATCGGTAAAGGCACATCAAACCCGTTGATGGCTGGGGGTTTGCCAAAAATCCCAAAGCCTATGTCTAACACACATGGCCGGTTAGTCTTTGACCGTAAAAAGGACAAAAGACCACATATTCAACATTGTGGCAGGTTGTTATTAATAACACCATAATCCGTGCCTCACACGCACGGGGAATTTTATCCTGAATCCTAAGTAAGGATAAGTCAGCGCCTAACACGCGTTGCCGGGTAGTCTATTCCCGTGAGAAAGACGAAGTCTACGTATTCAATATCGTAGCACTAAAAGGGTTAACTCTTTTAGCTTAAACGTCACATAGGAGCGGACTTAAACAATCCGCATGCTAGCCCGACTCAAACGGTAGTCGGTAAAGGCTAATCAAATCCGTTGAAGGCTGGGGATTAGCCAAAAATCCTAAAGTCAACGCCTAACACGCGTCGCCGGGTAGTCTATTCCCGTGAGAAAGACGAAGTCTACGTATTCAATATCGTAGCACTAAGAGCGTTAACTCTCTTAGCACAACGTCACATGCGGAACGGACTTAAACAATCCGCATGCTAGCCCGACTCAAACGGTAGTCGGTAAAGGCTAATCAAATCCGTTGATGGCTGAGGATTTGCCAAAAATTCTATAACTGCGAGTCATTGACGCATCAACTCCCCTAGTTGGTCTCGTGACTCGAGCACCCAACAAATTCGGGACAAAATCCACACATGCAGATGAATCAACTTTAACAGTTGGTCCTGCAACCCCAACATTCGGGACCGCGATGCTCCAATACCTTAAGAGCTTAAACTGTGTATACTCCAGCAAACGTACGAGTATAAACTGTGTTAATGGCGATTTGTAAACCCTAGGGACAACGCCGGTCAACGCGTAACCCTAGGTCAACGCCAAGCAACGCGTTGCAACAAAAGTCAACGTTCGACGATTCAAACCCTAGGGGTGGACGCCGGTCAACGCGTAACCTTAGGTCAACGCCAGTCAACGCGTTGCAAGCGAAAGTCAACGTTCGACGATTCAAAACCCTAGGGTCAACGCCGGTCAACGCGTAACCCTAGGTCAACGCCGGTCAACGCGTTGCGATAAAAAGCCAACACACGGGGATCCGAAACCCTAAGCCAGCACAATGTGGCGGAGGTAGTTCAAAGTCAACTCAATGACACGAGCCAAACTCAATTCATCAGCTGCAGACTCGAGACTCCGACGACGGCCAGACGATAAACGCAGCGCCGGAAGAACCTCGGCTATTCGTCAAAGCATCGGATAGATCGAAAATCGAAAGAGTCAAGAGTTGAAGCTAACTACGCCGACTGAAGGCCAGATCAATCACATCCAAAGTATTCCAGCCTCTTCTATAAAAGAAACGAGTCAGGAACACTTTGGAGGGGGTATCTGTAGGCATCAAAAATTGCCTATAGTTCTCCACAACCGGTTCAGTGTTAACGAGCGACGATGAACGTCACCATCCAATCCACATGAGCCTAATCGACGTCGACGAACGACTGAAGTGAATCGACGAGTTACATGAGC